AATATAGCCAATAATCCAGAGTCCCTATATTTACGAAGTCAAATTGGCAACTACCTCGAAAGGGCCTGAAACTGTGATGTGACAACTACAGTTTATACCACAAGACAGCCCACCGTCCGGGTATGACCAAGCAGAAGAGCGGCTTTAAATATAGCCATCTTGTATCATACAAGTACAGCCATCGTTTTATAATAAGCCCATTCTAAATAATATATGATGGATGTACTTTTTAAGGTCACATGTACCGGGTGTGTAATACGAGACCAGGTGGAGAGCTGACCAAAACAAACAGTATCTCGCCAGGTCAGGTTGATAGGCAGAGCCCAATATTCAATTATAGGGGGCAACTGCTACTGATAACTCAACACACTCACGTAGCACGGACACCCAGTGCCAGGCCCATACCAGACGTCCGCCAACTATGATAATAGAGAATGTATCTGAAATCAGGCTGTATTGCTGCTACCAGCAGTATGTGTACACGGTAGTTGATACATACAAGGGCTAGTATATGCAGATAACATGCATTCAATCCTAAAGCATCAGCGCTACATGACATAGGTATAGTGTTCGAACGCATCTGGGCTTCCTTTCAACGTGCGCATATATGTCAGTGATATGGCAGAGCCGTGACAGTCAGTGCGTGACTTTAAGTAGAATCTCTTTCAAGAATTGGCGGTGAACACACACCAATCCCGAAATACCCTCACACACTGAACACACACTCTGACTCACATGTGTCGGCATGTTGCCCATCCATGTATTCATTTCGACGCATACAGTACCACACCTCACCATATTTACACACATAAATTATGTCTTTCAATATATGTACTATATATATATAAATATATGTACTATATCTATATATAAATATAAATATATAAATATATGTACTATCTATATATATAAATATATGTACTATATATATATTTATATTATATATATATATATATATATATATATATATATATATATATATATATATATATATATATATATATATATATATATATATATATATATATATATATTATATA